ATAAAATGAGGACTAAGACTAGTAGACTGCTCACCTTTAACGAGAGAACAATCCTTTGGCAGTTAACTACTAATGCAGAACCTGTCCTGTCGGGACCATCACATACACTGACTAACATCACATTTGGCATTTAATGCTACAATCAGGTCACTGGATTGAGAGACACGCTAAAAGTAGTACCAATCCATGACCAGAAATGGAGTAGAATAAAAATGAAATACCCATCATTTTTTCCGACCAAAAAAGAAAAAAAAATGTTTCCATGTTAGACCCTGGACCAGGGATGAAGCGACTACTGGTTCACCCAACTTGAGTTCTACCATCAAAAGCCCCTCTACAACTCTTCAAATTCTATACATTTATACCACAAGTTTCCTCATGACTCATCGAAGTACACAGAACACAGGATCTATAACATTTTACTCAAAGCAAAAAGAGACTCATCATACATCATTTCATTGATTGTTTTCTCACCCCCCCCTCTATCTCTCTCTCTCTCTCTCTCTCTCTCTCTCTCTCTCTCTCTCCCCCCCTCTCAGACAGTTGACATTTCTGAGAGTAAACAGTTTTCAAAAGAATGTTGGTTGGGTGTTAGGGAGAGTTTACACCACACCATCAATACACTTCTTTCCTTTCTCGTGAAAAAATGTCAGTTAAACAAACATGTGGTTCTTTCATGAAAACTTCTCATACGTGACATCAAGCACACACACAGTATGAAACAGAGAGAAACAACACAAATCATGAAACACTTTCAAGAGGTACAGACACTATACTGCTGTACTGGGCTGCATTATCCTTTGACAAAGAGGTTAAGAAATGGCTCGGAATTGGTCTTGAGAGAGAAAAGAATCAACATGAATATAACATAAATTAACATAGACTGCCACCAGCTGCCAGTGCTGTGCAGGTTCACTCTTAACCCTTTGAACCCTTGGCTCCTGAGCCTTAAATAGGCTAAATAACCTTACCTTCTCAGTAATTTCATTGATTTTTTTTTAGGTATAATAAATATTCTACAGCTCATTTTAGTGTTGATCATATCTATTTATCTCATTTTTTGGGGGTCGTAAAGTAACTATTTTGCAGTACATTGATACTATTGATGCTGCTGTTTCGTATCTGCGTTCTATTTCTGTAGACACACGTCATATTTCAGGTGGATGTGCCACACTCCTATTTTGGTACACCAGGGTATTTACTGTATAGCATTCACACCAACATTTTCATACAGAGGGTTCAAAGGGTTAACTTATCACCACCTCCATCACATCTGTGATGACAATATGTATTCATATCAGTCAGTGGTGTTACATTCTCATCATGTAACTAGAACAAATAGGTCAACTCTTTTTTTTGTGTGTGCTCTACGTACGTACGTTACCGAGATTGATCTGCTGGTCCTCAACAAAAAGCAAAGAGATTGTATCAATACATATCGACTGCTTACTGTCAGACTCCGACATATATGCCATTTTGAAAAGTTACATATAACAGCGAATAATACTGAGCAGTCGATATTAACCGTTTCGCACTTACAGCGCCCGTATGCGCCCGTGCCGGTGACCCCCGCTCATCCCTATAGCGCCCGCCACGGGGGTGTTTGTTTCGTTGCTGCGGGAGGCTTCTACTTTTACTATCATCAGAAGTTTAACTTAGCTATCTTTATAGAGGAAGAGGTCCGGTTTACTATGGTGTTTTTCTTGTTTCGCTTTCACAAAGAGTCACTTTTTGAGCGGGAACAAAAGTCGGAGGACCGATTTTAGTTGTAAACACGCCATCATGTCTCTAGGATGCATGGGCGCAAAGCTGCCCGATATGAGTACGGCAAAAACAAAATAAAAACACCCAAAGAAAAGTCTTTTAGGTGCTTTCAAGTTTCCACCAGAGGCTTCAATCTCTGTGAATGTGTTGTATTTCTTTTGTGTGGATTACCTCTTTGTCAGTGGCAGAAACTTCGTGAGTTGAAGAAATGTAGTATACGAGGTCTAGATCTAGATCTAGACTCGGAATCCAAGACACGCATCTCAGAAAGACCTCTCATATCATTTCATACTCTTCTATTCCACTTATAATTTTGTACTAGTAATTTAGCTCATTCATTTTCCCTTCAGAAAATACTATTTTCATAATTTTTGGTTGTGTTTGTGATTTTATACAATTTTTTCAGTAAGGTACCCCTTCAATTTTCGTGGAGTTGTTGCCCTTGTCTTACGGATGGGGGGCCACAGCTGGCCAAGGCTGCTAAGTGCGAAAGGGTTAAGTTGTTTGAAAGTGCTGTAGATAACTTTAGAGTTTTCTCTCATTTTTAAAATTAGTATACGTTTGGGGGTTTTTTCAGCGTGTTGAAAATGTTTCCAGAAATCACTTACACAATCAGAGCAGAGCATAACACCATCAATATGTCTCAGTTGTTTAGTAAAATATCATTCAAAAATGTTTAGTTGACTGCCTCAGATTCAGATGTGGTTGGTAGCAACTTCTGATCAGCTTTTACAACACATCTCTATATCTCATGTTCAACATTCCCCCCCCCCCCCCCCCCCTAACCCAACCAAGTATCTCCTAATAGGATTATTTTACAACTGTAAGCAGCACCATATACAACCACACAGAGAGGTAAACCATTGGTCACACTGTCTTTCTCAATCAAAAGACAACACTTACGAGATTTGTCATGGTGAAAGACTCAAAGGGGAGAAACAATGGAAGAAACTCAAAAGAAACGGGAGCGAAACAGGACAGGATGAGTGAGCAACTCAAGTCAACACACACTTAACTTGCACAGTCTAATCTTCACACCGACATGATACACATCAACTCAAATGAACCAGAGGTCAAAAGAGCCTTTCAAGCTTGAAAACTTTTTTAAAATCCCAATGCAGGACAGCTGGGCATAAACCTGGGTCAACAGAACAAGGCAGACATACTACCACCACCTCTGACACAGGTGTCCCAAAACAGGTATCATGAATGACATAAGAACCATTCGTGCACGTGAGGACAATGTCATTTAAGTTAGTCGACAATCTATAAGTGATTAGAACTGACAACCTAATACTGTAATGAAATCCCACTTACCACAGTTTAGAAATAAGAACAGCGCTAGACGAAAGCCCCAGTAAGGGTGCACCACTTAAATTCAAAATAAGTGAAGCATACATCAGTAAACAAATCTATTTTTACAATTTTTCAGGATATCTGGCAAGTGTTACAAAATGAACCGCAACTATGAGAGAAACTTCTTAAACATTTAGTTTCTCAACATAAACAAAAAGAGAGCAGCTGGCCTCATAACTGACGTAACAACAACTTACTATACACACGGGGAAGACAGTTGAATGGATGAGAGGGAAGGGAAGGGGGGGTGGGAGGGGGATGAAGAGAGGGAAGGGATAGAAGGAGGCGTGAATAAAACAGAGAAAGGAATAGAGGCGGAGGAAGAGAAAGGGGAACTAGGAGTGAAATGGGAGAGAGAAAGGAGGAGAGAGAGAGGAAGAGAAGGAGAGAGAGGAAAAGAAGGAGAGAAAGGAAAAGAGAGAGGATTAGGAAAAGAGAGAGGATGAGGAAAAGAGAGAGGATGAGGAGAAGATGAGAAGAGAGGGGAAAAGAAGAGGAAAGGAAAGACTAACGGAGGGCTGGTTAGGGGCGGGGTTCATGTGTGTGTGCCTGTCTGTGTGTTTGTCTGTGTTTGTCTGCGTCTTTCAGTGTGTGTGTGTGGGGAGGGGGGG